GATTAGTTACCGTTTTTGCAGGCTTTGTTCAACCCATATAAATCTACAGGGTGGTCGAGTGTACCAATTTAATCGAAATTAAACGACCTCATGCATTTATTTTTATGATATTTAGTATGTTATAAAAATATCCCTAGACTTTTCCGATGTGTGTATATTTGATATTTTGGTTGTAGAATTGTTACCACTTTCCTGACTTCAAATCTGACACACACTTTTGGATAATGGACGTCAAAATCTTCAACATTCAATAACAAAGTTGGTCAACCAGATTCGATAACTAGTTTTTTATATATTGAATTCTCTTCTGGAGAAGCGGCTAACAATAGTTGAGAGTTGAACTCAACATAGAAGAAATAATTGAAAACATTCTCAAAGCATAATTGTGTTGTGGTAACTCATAGGTCAAGTTTGATGGTAAATCCTACATTTATTTTCATTCAATAAACATATTGCAGTCACGGTAGTTATTTTTAGAAATGATGACAAGCACACTCAATAACGCTGATGTAGAACCTCATATCATATTACTCATTTGAAATCAATACTCACCTGAGTTCCCACATTTCGCTGTGGATCATTCAAATTGAAATAGTCGACATTTTGAATGATTCCTGGAGCTTTCAGCCCCAATAAAAATATCAGTAGGCATGTTATGTATCTCAAGACAAAAAGAGCCATTTCAATTTGATCGGTCGTACTGAAAAAAAAAAAACGAAGAGAATTATAAACAATTTACAGATGATTTGCAATATTTTAATAATAGATGAATTGGTTTTTTACTCAATGTCGATGCTGATGGATTCTTACAGAAACTCTGACTGACACCGTTACTCACTTTTCAAGTTTGAACCACCAGTTGATTTGTCCCAAATTTAAAAATGAGAGATTTTCTGAGAGGAATGTCAGAGTCCAAAATATGAGTAAAACTATCCCGTGGCCCCTCGTGGGCACGGATGGTAATAAATAATGCCTCTCTACTTTGATTATCCATAGGGAATATGGATACGCAATGGATGTTAGCACCAATGAAAGGATCTGAAATTGAAAAACAAAATGGAAAAAGTTGCATACATTTATTCAACTGAAAAAAAGTTAACAACGCATCGGTAACAAATTGCAGATTACTGAACTTTCTCTATATATACAGCGTGACACACGGTCGATGGTAGGTTAGACGTTTCTGGAAAACGCAAAGCATGATTTTTCTGAAAATTTCACCTCTCACATTTCCTTACCTGTTCTATCGAATAGATCGATAGAACAGGTAAGGAAATGTGAGAGGTGAAATTTTCAGAAAAATCATGCTTTGCGTTTTCCAGAAACGTCTAACCTACCATCGACCGTGAGTCACGCTGTATATATATATCTCTTTTTGCAACTCATGATAGGAACCATACCCACAACACACGAAAAAAAAAACCTTTTGAATATAAAGACACATTTGACCTATCTTCAAAAAACATACCTTTTTCAATCAATAATATTTATAACAAGATACCTAAATCTCTTAGAATTTTGTCTTCTAAGATCACGAAGAATAAATTGAAAACTTTGCTTCTTTCCAGAGCTTATTATTCGCTGGAAGAATTCTTCAAAGATAATTTAAACTGATGTTGTTCGGGTTAAATATTTCATGTCATATCAATCTGTATTGTAGTTTAGTCTCTTCTGAACCCTACATATAGATGTATACGTTAGTGTTCTGTATCTAATATAATAATATTACATTAAGTATATTGATTGTGATAACCTTGTTATTCATACATCTGTGGTCATTTATATTCTTATATTCCTAACCAATATTAATGATACTGCTTCATGATTTTCTACTGTCTTTAATGTTTACTGTAATTGACATGTTCTACACTTGAGATGGTTTTTTATTACAAAGAACTAATAAAGGATATATATCTACTATACAACATTTCCAATAAAAAAATGGAATGCTACTCAATTCTGAGAACATAGATCATTCATGTCACAACTTACCATATATCCATATATATTTTTATCTTCATAAATTGTTCCTTGCAAGCCAAATCTGAGTATTTCAAGCACGGGTAGGAATATGGTCAAGAATATTTGCAGGTAGTACAGTTTCGACTTCGACAAATGGTAAGGTGACACCTCCGTCCCGTATTTTCTATACATCCACAGCTGGATCGTTCCAGCCACAAATATGAAGCCTGCTATCACAGAGGAAGTTATGGTATCCATGAAACACTGCGAAGTTCCATGATTCACCCACACATCCCAAATGGATATGTTCGGTGGGCAGTACGATATGTTGGAAACCATTGTTACCTGAATTGAAAAATAATTTTATCTGAACCGTGTCACAAATGAATGAAAACGATGGCGAAATTGCATGAAATGGGCTTCAAATTGCTCCTCCATAAACCATATTCGCCAGATTTAGCTCGTAGTGACTACTGTCTGTAAGCAGACTTGAACAAAAAAAAACAAAAATATTTACATTTATACAATTAAAAAACAGTGAAATAGTGTTTTCAAAAAAGCAAAGTTCTACTATAACAAGACTTGATAGTATTGATTATAAGTAATTAAATGACTCACCTTCATAAATACAGTTTTACAACCGACATGAACACTTACTTCAAATCAAACTTTGTTTACGAATGAATCAATGATCAGTTATTGTATTCATTCTGAAATAACTTCAACTAGATTTCAGTATTCATATAGCGATGGTTTATCATTTATTAGATGTTTGTTTTGATATTTCCAATACTTGCACAATATCAATAGTTTTTTACTCCTACATATCATGGAATAGAAAATAAACAGAATTAGAACTTTCATTATTTCAACAGTAAGATGGTGAGTATTATTAATATTTAGGTCTTGCACAAAAATTAAACAATTGTTTATTGAAGCCAACCCCTCTCTTTAGTTAATATTGTATTTCTTTTAATTTACCAGTCACTGTTGCACCTACATAGTGAACATTTATTCAAGTTCAATGTTATACCACATACATTCATAAAGCTGAAGTATTAAGTATCATCGTTTAACACTCAATAATGGAATTATCATGAATTATATCCACAAATACACTACTTATTGTCCAGGTTGAAATTTCTGTATTTTTTAGTCAATCTACATCAATTGTTATCAGAATCATGAGCACTCGTAAAAACAGTTGAGATAACCCAGTGAACCATCAACTTAAAACATTATTACGCGCCTAAGCAATGATATCAATTTATAAATTCAAAATCTAAAGAAAGTAGTACTTTGAATAAAAGTTTCAATTATTCAAATTAGTTACTGGTTTTTAAAAACTAATATCCTATAGTTTGTATATTAATTCACCACCTAAATGTTTAGATCTGGAGTTATAGCTTTTACTGTCTAGTAGACTAGAAGAGAGAGTTCACAAAACCTTATCATTACAATTTTTTCCAGTGTAAATGCTGAATTGAATGTAAAATTTGCCTTCCATAAAAAACTGAATAAACTTATGCTATGCATAATTGTGAGTTACCACTGCAGTTTTATAAACCTAAAAACCTGTATCTTTTGAAAATTGCTGACAATGAGCATGATAGTCAGCAGAATTGAGAATGATCAAATTTAAATAACACTGACAGTTGTTCAAGTTTGGGTGCCTTTACATTTTCACAGAATAAAAGTAAATTTCTTCATTACTATTATCAAACAAAGATAGAACGTTACTTTTTCGAAAATTCTCTGTCAGTTTTTGAGTAAAACAATTCAAAAAATGTGTTTAATGAACATTTGAGTTACAATGTTAAATTTGGATACTAGGCTAAAAAGATCAAATCTTATATAAAGGTAATATGTACTTACTATTACTTATTACATGAAAGTGTTCATATTCAAAATCAAACGAAATCCCGAACTTTTTCCTTTTCAATTTGCATTTGATACCTTCTCTATTTTGTATTATTGTTTAGTCATTATTTATTATGACACTTTTTATCACTTTTGTCACTGCCGTCATACTTTTGTGTTTTAACCTTTTATCACGTGATCTCCGTGGTGATTTGCATATGTCTAATATTCCACCAACGGCATTTAGAACGTATAGAAAGTAATAGTTGTGGTTTTCCAAACGCATTTAGAGCGTATAGAAAGTAACTTTTTGTCGTTTTCAGGAATAAATGATCCTTCACATATTTAATTTTATGTGTGAAATGAAATCATTATTTATTAAAAAATGAATTAATTGAATCACTGATTTCTATGGTATATTGCGGAAGGCTGTGCATGGACACAACAGGCTCGATACTTTTCAGATTTTGTAGTCATCATGAATAAACTTCTATATTTCTGAAATACAATATTTCAATAGATAAATGAAAATGGTTACTTATGGCAACAATCAATGTTTTCCTCGAGTTTGACGTTCAAACTATTGAACCTAGATGTCGCTCGCTTCATGGCTCTTCCGTATGTTTCAACGCTCTGATTGGACTAAGTTTATAATCATTTCATGTCAGTGAAAATTCTCTATTTAGCGTTCTGTGTCTATGATATCAACTGGTTATATGCTTAGTCGCCCCTCTAGACACTGCAGTATGTATGGTTGCCTATAATCACTTCACAGTCCCATCTCTTCTGAATGATGTTGAAGCTATGCACAATATGTTTCTCCTTTACATGCTTATAAGGTGTTTCTATGTGTGTGACAGAGACGCTGAGCATGATAGTGAAGTAATCATAAGTACTAGTTAAATTGAAATAGTTGTCGTTCAATGTTTGGTGGGTGCATGTCAATCTGTCAAAATAATAAATATCTTAAATTTTAGGAACTATTTCGGATTTAATGAATCGAATGACTGATTTTGACTATGTGAAGTGCTAGTGTTTTGATTGCAGTGTTATGTATACAGTGTTATGCATAGTACTTTTCAAAAGGGGCCTATAAAGGAATTCAATTGATTGAAGGTGTGTATATATCGATATTCGATCTTAGTCAACATTTATTGTTTCTATAATTTGCGGTTTTATTGCAAGCTAGGAATTGAAAGTATTTTCAAGCTTTGCCCTGCCTTTTTATTGATCTCTGTGTAACATAACCTAATGTCAGTAATGAGAAAGGAACAGAAAGGAGAGGGTTGACTTACAATCATAAATCGGATGAAAGTCTGATGTTTTAGTGATTTATCATTCATTTTATTTTTCTAATTAATGGATTTAATGGATAACTTTTGTATCCATCATTCAGTTATATAAATTGAAAATGAATTATTGAGTATTACATGTGTTTCAAACTAAAAATGTAGTATTCATCTGTTAGT